TGTGGTAATCTTGTTTCTGCATATCTTGTTTTGGTGTTATATTTCTGTTTTTGTTACTTTTATCTATCAGCTAAACATATTTGAAGCTCATGTAGATTTTGCAAGTACTAGAGTAACTAGTTTATAATCATCTTTCTTTTTCTTTTCTTTTTTTTGCTTTGTTTTAAGTGATGATTCCTATGAACTTTTCATATCTGATGAAATCTAACATTTCTTACTTCCTTCATTACCCAGTTTTATCCAATAAAAACATTACAAATGAAGATAATGAGTTCATAGCAATTTTAAGTGGTGCTGAAAAACAATGTCTATGATTCCATTCATTATTTACACACAGACTATTGTCCTCATCTTTGTTGTTTTTATCACAATGTTTCGGCCATTGTGCCCTCCACTCTTCATCAGGTACTTGTCAATCTGGGTAACCTTCATGGAATGAATTTTGAACTGAACACTTTATTTAACCAATGGGTGTTAATTGTTCTCATTCTGCTGCCTGTATCAAGCAATATCTTGTTTAGTTCAAATTTGAGTACCCTTCTGGCTCTTTCAAGTGGACAGTTGAGTTCATATATAAAAGAAGCTTTGTGAGGTTATGAATCCAGCCTGTCATCAGAGAAGCCAGAGAACATTGCTATTTGAATGTGGAATCCAAATTTTACTGTTATTATGAATGAGTTTTCAGTTTCATTTTTGTTCTCACCTAGATTAAAATCTGAGAAACTGACTTGTTGGCATTTGTAATTAGATTTTTGCTACATTTCCTTGAAAGAGTAACAAAGTCATTAATACCTTATTAAGAAGTACCATTGTCTTGAAGAAACTTCATAAATGCAGTGAAAGGAGAGAAAAAGTGGTTCTAAAAGAACATCACATACATCACAATTTCCTGAAATGGGTAACATTCCTCTAAGGTTTGTTGGAATTGTGAGCATTATATAAAGGCTTCCAAATTGATAATTAAGAAAGTCACACATTTTCCAACTGATAAAACATTAATTAAACTATTTTCATTCCAATATTTTATGTACAGTTTCTACTGAATAAAGCCCTATTTGTTTTTATTATTTTATTTTACTTGTTTTTTTATATTTTGTTTTCCAGTCTTTAAGAAAATTATAGAATTTCAAGTTAGTAAAATTTTGAACAGTATCAACTTGTGATTAAGTTAACTTTATGCATAGCCAACTCTTTTTCTCTAATAGTTACATATTATCTTGCAAGATAGAAATTCTTTTAAATCTTAATATATTAAAACAAATTTAATGCTATCAAACCTTTTAAGGGTTGTTAGAGCTTTAATGGTACTACTTTCGATGGCACTTTTAATTAGGTTCTTCTCTTCAAGGATTCACTTAAGTCAGCCATTTTTACACAGCCATTAGAAATCATTTTTCTCATTAACTACTGTTGTCCTTCAGTGCCAATCTAAAATAGCCACTAATTAAATTGTGACAAATTTTGTGTATTTCATTATTTCCAATATCACAAGGATTAACACATAAAACATATGCAATAAAGTTATACCTTTAGAAACTAATAATTAGCTACTTATATGAGTGAATGCTCTTTCCTTTTTATGTAATTGTAACTTGTTTATAGAAAAGTAAATGAAGTAATCAAAGTTTGCTGATCTTTTAACAATATAAGACAAGTTGAAAGCATAATGTGTTTGCTGTTTGAAACTCATTATGAAAAGTTGTTTTCAATTTGAACTCTTTTATACTCTTCAAATATTTTGTTTTGTATGATAATTTTAATTAGCTATCTATTCATTGATCATTTATTTATTTAGGCATTCATTCTTTATGAACTGAGCAGATGTAAATTGAAAAAACAAGATTTTTCTCCCCTTTTTCTTACCTTTTTTTTTTATTTTCATCCATATTGAATTAAAGAATATTAAATATTTTAAAAAGTTTAACATCAAATTTTATATTTTTAATGATATAGTCAATCAACTCAACAAATCCAAGATGTATTTCCACATTAATAAGTCCAGGTTTGCTTGTAATTTATTGTATTCTGAAAAGAATTCTACTCTGTGCGGTATAATATATGTGACGCCCACCAGTGGTCACAGTCCAGTGGTCATGTGATATCCAGTGGTCCAATATATGACACTCCACTGGTCAACTCCCAACGGGTGAAGCTGTAAGGTTTCTTCCACCAGCGTTTGAAGTTGACTCATTGTCGCTGCCACCAGCCTGTGTCCTGGTTGATCTGGTCGTTCCCGGTTCGATACCAACTTGTCATTCCCAGCTCACTTCCAACATCTGGTTACCGAAGTAACTACTTTGATCTTGAGTCTAACCTACCCACATTGTGATTTTGATCTTAGGTAGACGAAATCAATCAGGCGTCAGGCCGTAGTGCAAGCTGAATCTGGGGTAAAGGTGATACTGCACAAGCGTAAGTAAAAGAAAATAATAAAACAACTCAAGAGGTTCAAATATGTTGAGAAATAACAATTATCTTTATCTGTTGAATACAGGAGTGTGTTTCTCTCCCAGCCCGTTTTTATGAATTCATGACACTTTTTGCATTTCTTAAGCGAGTTATGGTATCTTAAGTCGTTCGTCAATAAAGACCTGCTTTTGATAGGAAGACTAAGTCAAGAGGACATATTTCGGTCAGCTTCTACGAGGCTGGTCTCCAACTCAACTCTCCAAACTCGAACTGTCTGGAACTGACTGCAAATCTGAACTCTCCTGACTAGCTGCTTCGAGACATTCATTTATATGGACACCGACTCAAACTCGGTGTGTGGGCCTGTTGGGGTGCACCCACCTTCTGAGGAGAATGGACTGATCTCTCTACGATATAGGTCAGTGCTAGAGAGATCAGGATCGTTCTGTGGAGATCACAAGATCATAGAGATCACATGACCATTGCACTTCTGTCTCTCGACCGGAAGATACCGTTGGACTGTAGACTCTTGCTGATTGTTATTACTAACCTGCGTTCGTTATTACTAATAACTCTGTTGTTAAATACCTCTTCAAATATACCAGTATTTTCCCTACTTATGTGTTTGTCCTTATTTTGAATACACGCACGCGGGAACACTCCCAACATCTCAACAGGGCCTGACGTGGTTTGGGTTCCTTGACAATTCTCAATTCCCAACAAGAATTCTCTTTGTTCTTAGGCCAGGAAAATTAATTACTTCCCATTTTTTGGAAGATTAAACACTTTCCATTTCAGGGGTTTCTCCCTCGTCCGTGAGGGAAGGTCGGAGGAGAGTTATCCTCCTAGACTCTTCCTCTCTCACACTGGTATCTCATACCAATCTCCTTCGTGGGTGTTAACAACTTCTCCGTCTTTCTCATACATTCACCTCTGCCTATCACCCATGCTACCATTTGGCCAATGATCTCTCGGCAGTGTGGGTGTGGCTAGACCAGCCCTCTTAGGATTATTCCAGAATTTTGTTTACAAAACCCTTTTTTTCTTTTTCCTTTTCCTTCAGCCAAAACATTAACAAATCCCAGATTGCCAATTAATTCTTTATCATATCCCAAATCCACTTAGCCTGGACCTCTATCCACTCATTAATCATTGTCAAAAAACCCGACACCTGGGTCTTCTGCTAGTCAACTTTTAACTGGGTGGTCATGTTTACCTGATAATTAAATTCTTTATTTTTCTCATGCCTTAAAATTCTCTTATCACCAGATGCTCATTTTCGAGACACTATGTCAGCAGTTTGAATAAGGAATAATAATGATCCCCCTTTCAATTTTCCCTCTCATGCCAAAATTCGTGCATATACCAGATGGCTCCCTTCGCTGGAACCAGGAATTAAAGTTAAATGATATCTCTGAAAGATAATTAATATCTATTCTCCAGGGTGGTCCCAAGCTGAATTTTTTAAGACCGCATGCGTTGGTTGGCTTTGTTTTTCTTTCAGAATTCTGTTTCATTTGGCGTGTCACTCCCTTATCGTGACATTAATTAATTTTGACAGAATCACAGTCTCGCTTTTTCTTACGGACTTTCTGTCTTTTACGAAAAGTATCTTTCTTTTGTAAATAAAATAAATTCTTCTTTTTAATGTCGCTCAGTCTATCTTTCAATATAGCTCTTTCTCACCTTAAGTATTTCCTGTTATTAATTTCTATGGTTAATTAGTTAGCCAACAACCATAGCTAAATAGTGTCACACATATAGGAATGTTAATATGTTGATAAATCAGATTCAGGTATAATTATTATTATTATTACTATAAGTTTCTTTATCATTTCTCAGCAATTAATCACTTGCCATTTTTCGGTAAGCATTTTATTCTTGCACTATTCTGTCTGATGCTAATTTTCCTTTAATCAGTTCAAAATGTTCATTTTTGCAATCTGCCAAACTGAATGATAAACAAGTTCACAAATAAAAATGAATGATAAACATTGTCAATCATTGGTACTGAAAAAATAAAACTAACTTTTGTATGATTTTTTTTCTTTTCTAAAATATTCTGAAAAATAAATGAAAGACTAGACTATTTAAGACAAAACTTATCTGAAATCAAACTATGACTCAGAATCTGGTCAATTTTTTTTTTTTATGATACTGTCTTAATATCATTGGTGAAGCAAGATTTTCAATATGAAACTTAAATCACCCAAAAGCCAAATTTTCTTTTACTCCCAACTTTATAAAATAATCAGCTCTGACTTTCAAAGAAAGAAAAATTTAAATATTAGTAATTATGTTAATTTTGTCATATGGTGGAGAGATTTATTTTTCATTTTTATGGTTGGAAAAAAAGTATCTTCAAACTTTGGGAAATTTTAAATTAAACACTTGTTATAGAAATTGTACAAAGTAAGTAAATTCTCGTTTTACATGGTCAAATGCCTTCACTTGCATTCTACTTAATTGTCTTTCTGTTTGTACAATATCAGAATAGACTGTCAGTATTTTTGCTTGAAGTTATTCATTTATCTTTTAGCTTGATTAATTCATATCTTTGTATTTAAAGGATTAAAAAATTCTTCTTTCAGGTGCTGTAGAAGCTTGTCTGTTGCATGGTTTGAAGAAGCGTGCACTTGGACTATTCAAACATGGAACAACTACTGCACTCCTTCAGAAACTCTCAAAGCATTATGAACCGGCTGGGCAGGTTCTTAAGATCGTTAATGAGATTGAGACCAATAACGACCCTACCCGGTAAGACTTGCTATTTTTTTCCCTATTAAATGATGTATATTGAACTATCTTTGTAATTGCCATCTGATCTCTAATAATTAAGATTTCTATCTTTAAGTTTACAGATCAATAACTACAAAGAAAACAAAAAGAATTATTTGAATGTATCCAGATATACAGTTTATATATAAAATTTTCTAAATAGCAGTTTAACTCTCTCACTCAAAATGAATCTTCATATTAACTACAGTAAATATGAATCCACAATTTATTTCCTATTCAGACCTAAATTTCATTATGCAACTTTAAGGTTTTGTGATAATATTAGCAAAATAAATTTTAAAAAAATGAACTGTCAAACATAGAAAACAATGTCTTTTAAATTTTACAAAAATTAAATACTTGTAAAGTCTGTTTGATTTTAAAAAATAATCATTTGTGATCAGATTAAACTAATTTTATATACAATCATTATTCTTAAATGATATTTTATGTTAACTGCTTTCTTTTGTAATAAAGTTATAAAACATTTTCATATGCGTTACTGCTGTCAATTATGTATGCAACTGTTACTTTTAATATACAATGTACAAAGTTTTAAAATACATATTCATGGATGCTAAATTTATTTATAGTTAAGTTTCAAACATTCTTTTTGTGAATTTTAAGAAATTTTGGACTTACATGAATACATTTACAAATAGGACTTTAGATACTTACATTTGATGAATTCTGCATTAAACACAAATGTTAAAAATTGATAAAATAGTTTTTTATTAGTTTTAATTTAAGGTATTAAGAATAAATAGTCACAAAAAGAATGACTTTTCTCATAAAAATGCCAGGCTCTAATAACTTCCTCAGTAGTCCTAGCATAGAATTGAATACTATATTTGGAGCCTTTAATCACGTTAGGACAGTATTAGATTTAAAACTCCCTAATTACACCACCTGATTGTTCTATGGAATATAATTATTAGTTGGTGGACATAAAAGCAGGTTTAAGTAAAAATTAATTTCATTAGTAAGAGGGTGAATGGTACTGATTGGTAAGTGCAGAAGAGAAGATTTATTGGTGTTTTTACAATCCTTCAATACCACTGGATATATTTGGTATTATTGTAGAAATCAAATACTTTGGAAATTAATTAGATAACTTTCTGAGAAGATAACTGTGTCTGTTTATACATGTACTAGCAGTAGAGCCCGGCATTGCCCGGGGATGTAACAGTAAGAGATAGATCAAGTATCGACCATTATAAAGACTGAAAAATAAAATTGACAAAGATTATTGTTTAAGGTTGACGGACACGCATGTCTTAATTAGTTTTATTTTTTTATTTTTTTTTATGAATTGGTCAAACTCAAACAAAAACATTGTTTTCAATTGTTATGAGTCTACCGATTGAATAGAATTTTATTATAAACAATTGTCTTGTAAATGGAATTTTTAAAGCATTCTGAATGTAAAAATAAAGAAAAAAGTGTGCAAGACAATAAGAAACGCTATCTGCCAAAAAAAAGTGAAGTTTTGGTGAAATCGGTTGAAAAATGTAGGAAATCCGATCCCATATATAAACGAACACACACACACATACACACACACACACAACCTGGGTTTTATAATAAGTATAACTCGATATGAGTTGTCCCCCTTCCATTCTCGTGATGCCTCTTAATCGTGTTTTTTTTTAATTGATTTTGTAAAAAAAACAATTGTGTTTTTTTCAATTTTGGCCCTGTCAGAACCACTGCAAAGTAATTTTACATAGTCCTGTGAAGTTTTGTTGAAATCGGTTGAAAAATGTAGGAAATCCGATCCAATATATAAACGTACAAACACACACACACACAACCTGGGTTTTATAAGTATGATTTATTTGAAGTTTCTTGGATTTGAATAGTTGATATGAATTTGTTGATATTTAATTTCTAGATGCTGATAATTGTAAAGTGTCAACATTTATTTTACAAGGAAAAACCCTCAAAATTGATTTAATTTGCTCATTCATGTTAGATACACACAAAAATCATTTTCAATTTTCCTTTATCTTTATCAATATAAGAATATTTTTCATATTGTTTAGATTATTATTCTCAGTTGAAATTATTTCAATCAACATTTCATCCATTTCTGTCATTCTTCACATCATTAGCTTTAAGTCAAGAATCGATTATTCCAAACCTTCAAGAACAATTTCAACAATGGTGAAATATCTGTCTATATTTCTGAGATGAGGTATTGTGTACACTATTTATATTATTCAGACTATTGTCCTCATCTTTGTCACCATATTTAAGGCAGTGGAGAACTTTCAGAGGGGAATTAACATGAGATAACTGATAACTGACATCCATTAAACATAGCATGTGGAACTAGGACAGTCTACCCCAATGAGCAAAATAAAGGGTTCAGTTTGACATTCCAACCACCTGAAGAAGGCCGGAGTGTAGAACAGCCGAAGCATTGTAATAAATATCACAAAAAAGATGAGAACAATATTCCGAATAATGTAAATAATGGTGAAATATCTTTAACAATTCAAGTGGTTCTTCCACTCTTTGAATTTGTATATTCCTCTACAGGTTGATTATAATTTCATATATTATCACAAGTAATAATTCTCAGTGTTAATTAACAAAAAGAATTTAAATTACTACATTAATCTTTTGAGTGCTCACTTTGCATTTCCAAAATGTGAGAATCTATAACCAAAATGGCCACTGCAACATTCCAGTCTGACTCATCTAGAAAAATTCATCTAATTATTACTAGAAACTCTATTTACAACCCACTTATGCAATTACTAAATTCATTATTGAAGTATCAAACTAGACACTATCCAATTTCTCTGTAAACTATTTGGTCTGTATTTATGATAGTGAAATTTCAGTCATCTGCATATATTTTCCATTTTTCTCAGTTAAAAAAAAAGTTGCTCATTCCCTTTTCATTAACAAATTAACCAATTCCTCTTGTATCAGATTAATGCCATTCTTCAAAATTCAAAAGAATTACCTCAACAAGTATTTGCTTTAAAATTTGTAATTATATTCGCATTTTGTAATTAGCATATCAGATGGAATATTCTTTGGCTATTTCTCCTGTGTCACATGTTTAGATTGTTATCTAGAAGATATTAATGTGAAGCTCTTCATGATTCTAATCTTAATGCAATGGAGAATAGATTCTTTAACCAATGTTTTTATTACTGGGTATATTTCCTACTAGCAGTAGAGCCCGGCATTGCCCGGGGATGTAACAATAAGAGATAGATCAAGTATCGACCATCATAAAGACTGAAAAATAAAATTGACAAAGATTATTGTTTAAGGTTGACGGACACGCATGTCTTAATTAGTTTTTTTTTTTTTTTTTTTTTAACGAATTATTCAAACAAAAACATTGTTTACAATCGTTATGAGTCTATCGCTTGGTGAATAGAATTTTATTATAAACAATTGTCTTGTAAATGGAATTTTAAAGCATTCTGAATGTAAATAAAGAAAAAAAAAGTGTGCAAGACAATAAGAAATACTACCTGCCGAAAAAAAAAAGTTTTTGTTTTATCGGCTGAAAAAATGTAAGAAAATCCGATCCCATATATAAAGGACACACACACACACACACACACACACACACACACACAAACAACAACTGGGTTTTTTAACCTAAGTCACTCCACGGAATCGCTAAAACATAGAGCATAGTCTGATGAAAAAGACGTCAAAGTTTATGAAAACAAAATTTTATCGTCAAAATGCTTATGATTTTATGAAGAGGATAGATTAAATTTTTTTTAATTATTTTTAAAAAATTTTTCCATCTTTTTAGAATATTCTAAATTTTGATTTAAAAAACCTTGTTTCTCTTTGTCGCAACAAGGGGTAAAATAACATAGATAATTTTTAGCGCGTTTTTTTATTTACACACATTAATTTGGAAAATCTTGCAAAAATAAAAATAATTGTCAGATGTTAATGAAACTTTCAGAAACTATTCACAGATGATCGAAATTATTATAAATATTTTTTTTTTTTATTAAAGTCATGGCAGAAATATTTTTTTTATATTTATTAACACCCCCATAACTAATTTTATGAAAAACTCTAGAAATTCGACCATCGGGTTTAGTGATTACAATAGTTAAAAGCACAAGGCTTTGAAGAATGCAAATCATGTTTTTTTTTTTTTTTTTTTTTTTTGCCACGTACCTGAAAATCAACTGTGAATTGTAACATACAAAACTTAATAAAACAAATATATTTAGTTTCAAATGCTTTTATTTGTTTTAATTTGTTTTTATGAATATGGACAATATTTTCTGAAAGCAAAAAATTTTTTCAATGAAAATTGAATTTTTAATACAATTATTTCTTATTTCTTTAATTTTAAAAAGATTTTTTAAAAATGTTTAAATTGAATTTTAAAAAATATTTTAACATTAGTTAAAAGCAACATCAACCTTTCAAAATGTCCATGTGAGATTGTCATTGTCTAGCGCTTTGAAAATTGTATAATTTGGACCAATCAGATTAGCCATGGTAATTAAGAAATGTAATTTTGTGTTTATAGTCGGACAGTAATTATCAAGTACGGAAGACCAACCAGAATACAATTTAGTTGCATTATTTGAGTTCAGCATTGTTCTCCGCTGTTAAGCCCTTTACTTTTGCAAAACACGTATGGAGAAGTTAATTTGAGTTTTCAATTTCAACTGAGAAGGGTACCTACAAGTAACAGTATCATCTTATGAAATTTAACTACTGCTAAACTTTAATTTATATGATCTTATTTTTATATTAATCTCAGTTATGACATTTTTCCATAAATGAAATATCAAAATTAATAATAAAATGAATGGAAATACAAATAACACAGTAAAATGTAATAAATGTACATAAAATTATAGTATTTTATGTACACTTCTTTGATAAAATTTCATAAGAAAGGTACCTAAATTAATTAGATACCTTTTTCTTATGAAATTTAATCTCACTATTAACAGTCTTATTTTTAA